GATATGCATCACTGTATAAGTTTAAGGCATACAGCATGATGGTTTGATTTACATATATTATGAAATGATTACCAAAATACGTTTGGTATTTTATCTCCATAAAATAAAGTAGGACTATTTTATCCATTATCTCATATACATATAATAAAAAGAAAAGAAAGAAGAAAAAGAAAAAAAATTCTCCTCGTGATGAGAACTTTTAGGATTTACTCTCTCAAGAACTTTCCTATATATCATAGAATTAATTTTGACTGATTATAGTTATCATGTACATTACATTTCTAGTTCTGATTTGTCTTATAACAAGAATTTTGTACCTTTTAATCACCTTCCTCCAACCCCCCTGCCCCCACTGTCTGCACATAACCACAAGTCTGATCTCTTTTGATATGAATTTTGTTTTGTTTTAGATTCCATCTGGAGCACTGTAACCGACTAATAACATACAATTACAACAGCAAAAAAATTATGATAATCCTCAATCTGGAGAATTCAGCTAAATTCAAAGTCCTATGCAGATTTAGTCCATAGCTCACCCATTCCACAGGCAGTCAGTAGCTGAATGGGTAGGGAGTTCAGAGCAGTCATCATGCAGCAGCTGCAGCCAGGGGCCACATTGGCAGGGGTTGGGAAAGCCTGGACCTTGTCTATGACTGCTTCTGAAATAACTTTAGTTTTACCCAACAAGACAACCCCAAGAACTTTACTGACAAACGAGGTCCCTGAACCTTGGTGCTATTCACAGCCCATCCTTTCTCTTATTGATGTTGCAGCAGTCTAGGAACTGCCCCTTCTAAATCTTCAAGAGAATAAGATGTGAGCATGACATCATCAGTGTAGTGATACAGCCACATCATTGTGGTTTCTTCCATGTGGCCAAGTTCTGGGCTACAAGTCTGTGACAAATGGTGGGACTGTGGAGGTATTCCTGTGGAAGGACAGTGAATATCTACTGCCAGCCTTCCCACATGAAGGCAAAATGTTCCTGACTTTCCTGTGCTATGTCAGTAGAGAGGAAAACATTAGAAAGGTCCACAACATAATAATATGTCCCTAGTTCATGACTGAGGGTGTCCATAAGGGCTGCTATAGAGGGGACAGCAGCATGCAAAGAGGGGACAGCAGCAAAGCATGCACTTATTCAGTTCCCTGTAGTGCATGGTCATACACCAGGAGCCAATTGAAAGGACTATGAGTGGGCCTTATGATGCCCACTTTCTTCAACTCCTGTAGAGTTTCTCCAATTTCCTTGTGTCCCCCAGGCAATTTATATTGCCTACTATCTGTCCCCTGCCCAGGTACAGGCAGAGATAGAGACAGGTGCTGAGCATGTCCCCTTAGAACTGCCTTTACCACACGTACCCACAGCCTGAACTCAACTGCAGTGGTCTGTAACCATAGACCCTGCAGGGTATCCACCCCCAAAATATATTCAGGGATGGGAGAAATATACACGGCATACTCCTTTGGGGTAAATGCCCTATCCCCAATGGGATTTGGGCTTTCTTCACTCTCATTGCCTTACCCCATAGCCATCTATCACAGCACAGGTCCTGGGAAAATGCTCAGGGTTGTCATAAATCAGAGAACACTCAGCTCCTGTGTCCACCAGTGCCAGGACACGTTGTACATTCACAGGAGACCAATGAATTGCTAATTCTACATGTGGCCTCCGGTCCCCACCACATCCCCCAAGGTGGGGCCTTGACCCTTCCTTAGTCAAACTGCAACATCCAATATCCTCCTGTGGGGGTGAGGGCACAGGTGGATCCTGAGCACTGTCCCCCGGGAAGTTCTTGCAAGGACACAGTCAGGACGTGGGACTTTGCCTCCGGCTTCTGTGTCCTGGACCTCAGTGGCTGGAACCGCTGCTCTGGCTTTAATTGGTGCCACAATTCTAACAAGATCCTACTGGGCTGCCCACCAAGTTTTTCTTTCACTACCCAGCCTTTATCAAATCAACCCACATCTGGGTCCTCAAGACCTTCACAGGGCCCTTTGCAACTCTCCTTTCAGTCGTAGCCTGTACTTCCGTGTTCTTATTGTTTCAACCTCCCCTAGATCTGCCAAAGGACGAGTAGCCTCACTTATGGTTTGCCCTATGAGGGGGACAAGAGTAGTCACTAGGGACCCAGAGAGAGATGGGGGAGCTGTACGGAGCACCAGATTTCTTGTTCCTACTTTGAACGACTCCTCATTGGGGCCCTGGGGATCTATATTATAGGTATTTTTCACACCCAGCTCCCGTAACACCTGCTAGAGCTCTGCATAAATTTTTCAGCTAGTGAATAAATATGGCAAATCACCCTGATTAGGCCCAACTGCCCTGATGGCTGCTGTTAGTCAAGCCAGAAGCACTTGATTCCTTGAGGTGTGATGGGCACTTTGCAACTGCTTGAAAGAAGGAAGGATGAGTCATCAGGGAAGCCAGTCTATGCATTTCAGAACCCAACATAACAATGTTTTCCACCCCCATATCCCATAGATGCAAAAGCCATGTAGGCAGAGGTTCCGACAGCTTCTGCTGAAACTGGACCCTCATGTCTACCAGCTCATCCTGGGTATAGGGGCAGAGCATGGAGTGCTCCACAGCCTGGGGAGGTGGTGGCTTCTCCCACTGAGGAGCCCATGGTTTTTGCATTTTTATTTTCTTAATTACAACCTGGCAGGCTGGTGTACCTGGCTGTGGCCTTGGCAACAGACAGCCCTCTGCCCCACCCCCTCATCCTCTTCCAACACCTCCTCTATCGTCTCTGGGGCTAAAGACACCGCTCTTTCCTCCCCCCCCAACCTCCTGCAACACGGATTCTCTGGCTGCCTCCTCCATCACTGCTAACTTATCTTCCAAGAGCACAACCGGTCATCTCAATAACTGTTTCTCTTTCTTAAGAGCATCCCATAGGTCATCACCCAGCTCCTCCAAGATGCTGAAGTGTGTCTCTATCCTGCCGAAGTCTCTCTCTCTCGCCTCAGTAACCCTTTCCAATATCTCGAGAAACACATCCCACAATCCCAGCTGCTACATGGCCACTCAGGGCCACTAAGCAGTCTTCTGTCTCACAGAGGGCTAATTTCACAGCTTCCGGTGTCTCTATTCTTCCCCAGTTCTGGGGAAGGCCCCACCCCTCTAGGAGGTGCTTTACCCTAGACCAGTTCCCCACTAGAGGCTCCCCAATTGGAAGCTCCATAGATAGGGGGGTTCCTGGGTAAAACTGCACCCTCCACCGCAGCAGCCACTGGGGCCTCCCCACCATCCACGGGGGAGTTCTAGGTATCTCCTCCCCATCTCTAGAGGTAGCCCGCCCAAGGATTGCACCCATAAAGACAGATTTTGGGTTCAGAGGTCCTGCTGACTACTGCCAGATGTAACTCCTGGGGAAATATATTTTCCCAGCCCAGGGCAAAATGCCTTTGAAACCAAAATCAGTCAAAGGGAGAAATAAACTGGGGGAAGCTGTTTATTTCTTACAAGCAGTTGTCCACTTCTGCTCCCCCATGTCTCTCGTGACCTGGCTGCAAAAAGGGACCCCAGCCAACCTTTCCAGTACAGCTATGCCCTCTCTCTCCCTTGTAATCAGCTATCGATAGGGAGATGCACAAGGCCAAGTGAGAGATTCTGGAAATACTGCAATTTTACCCACACTCTCTTAACAACTTTCCTATATATCATAGAATTAATTTAAACTGATTATAGTTATCGTGTTGTACATTACATTTGTCATATAACAGTAATTTTGTACCTTTTGATCACCTTCCTCCAATCCCCCTGCCCCCACTGTCTACTACATAACCACAACTATGATCTCTTTTTATATGAGTTTTGTTTTGTTTTAGACTCCACATATAGATGAGATCATACAGTATTTGCCGTTCTCTAACTTACTTCCCTTATCATGCCTTCAAGGTCTATCTGTACTGTTTAAAATGGTAGAATTTCCTCATTTTTTATGGCTGAATAATATTACATTGCATATTATCTATATATGTCTCACAACTGAATAGATGGTTGGGACTGGGTACATATGCAGTAGTAGGGGCAGCGAGATGGGACCCAGGGATATATGGAGTGTTCACAGACTTGAATCAGGCAAGATTGCATACTGAATTCCCTGGTCAGGTGAGGTCACCAGTTCTGCTTTGCAGTTGGGGAAGCAAAACTCTGTATTCTCTGTTCAAGTGTATGTAAAGCTGTTGAATGGGTTATGCAGCTTCCCATGTGCTCTGGTTAGGTTCATGGTCAAACAGGCAGAAGGCTGTATTCAGCCATGAATGGGACTATGAATTAGAGTCCCTGCCTTTGCTCAGTGGGAGAAGCAGCTCTAAAGCCAGTACAGCTGTTTGTTGTCTTAGCTTAAGCTGATTGAATAGGACCATGCCCTCTGACCGAACAGGAGCACTAGCATTGCTCTGCAAACTATCAGCTCTGCCCAGCTTCCTCTCAACTTGAGTTCTGCTGGGCTACACAGCTTCCAGGAGTTGTTACCAGCCCTTCTAGTCAGATGGGACTAGACAACACTCTCCACAGGGGATGGGGCTGTGAGTCAGCTTCTAGCTGGACATGGGCAAACTAGGCTTTACAGCTGGCAAGACTCCTAGTTTGAGGATCAGAATCAGGTAGTTCTCCAGCCCCCTAGTTTCCTGCTCAGTGTGCCACTTGTTGGTTCTGCAGATGAGCAAAATCACTGGTTGGGATTACCACTTGGGCACTGCAGGTATGAGTCAGTCAGCCAACATCTATGTCTTGGTTGTCACAAGCCCCTTGCCTCTTTTCTGTCACAGATTCCTAGTGTTGAAGATTCTCCTGAAATCCCCATGGGGCAAGGTTAGAGTGGGGGTTTCCACAAAGTGACCCACAGTGCTAGGGGCCTAGGTTGTTGGCTGTCCCCCCTGGATTTTCTTTCCCCACTGGAGGAAGCAGAGGCTCAGGGGAGACCTCATCACGTGGTGTGGCACTGGCCTGGGGGAGGGGCAATGTGGTCAACGTGTAGTATTTCTCTTACCTGTGTGATGCGGTCTGTCATGGTCTCTGTGCTGCGGTGGGGCGTGGGTGTGTCAGCTTCACCACTGTGTTCTAGGATTCTGTCAGGAGTGTCTTGTTCTTCTTGTGATGGGGAGTGAAGTCAGGAACACCCTGTGTCACCATCTTGATGATGTTACTTCCCACAAACTATATTTCTGAAAGTTAAGAAGTAGAATATGAAAGTCAAGGGAAAGTTATTAAATGGAAATTAATATTTGTAACCTCTATGTGAGATAAAGTACTAATTTCTTAACATAAAAAAGGTCTTATAAATAAATAAACAAAACCCACCACAATGCAATAGAAAAAGAAGCAAATTACAAGAATGGTCAGTAGAAAGGAAAAGAGAGTATAAATAGATTGTCAGTAAGTGAATGGATCCTAATACCACCAACAGATAACACATTTTAAAATGTGAGATTTTATTTTAATAAATTTGATAATGTAGTGGGGTTGGCGAGGGTGTGAAGAAACAGACAAAGGCAGAGTGTGGTAGATACTGCAATATCTAAGAAAAAAAATTACTTACCCTATGATTCAGCAGTTCCACTTAAATGAAAACTGTTCTTCAGATATATTAATCATTGCAGTACTCTTATTTTTGTAATAGTCAAATTAGGAAATAGCCCTAAATCTCCATCAGTATCTGGTTAAATAAAAGTTTGTATATCACTGAAGCAATGAATAGAATAAAACAGTTATGTGTGTGTTGATAATGAGAGATCTCCAACATATTTTAACTGAATAAAAATATAAGGGGTAATATCTGAATTCAGCAAAGTTGCAGGATACAAAATTAATATACAGAAATCTGTTGCATTCCTATACACTAATGATGAACTAGCAGAAAGAGAAATCAGGAAAACAATTCCATTCACAATTGCATCAAAAAGAATAAAATACCTAGGAATAAATCTAACCAAGGAAGTGAAAGACCTATACCCTGAAAACTACAAGACACTCTTTTAAGAGAAATTAAAGAGGACACTAATAAATGGAAATTCATCCCATGCTCTTCGCTAGGAAGAATTAATATTGTCAAAATGGCCATCCTACCTAAAGCAATCTACAGATTCAATGCAATCCCTATCAAAATATCAGCAGCATTCTTCAAGGAACTGGA